TATTTTGGAAATTTTCTTATTATCAGTTGTATCAGTTGTATTTATATTGAATAAAGTAAATGTCGCAGTTGAATTTTATCTATAAAAAATGTCTGAAATTCATCATCTTTTCTCTTCACGAATTTATTTGTTTTGATTTTTATATATTTTTTAAAAAAAAATCTTTCAAAATTTTTATTTATTTTTTTTTTAAACAAAACCAAAATGTCTAACTACAACTCTGAATCTGATGATGAGTTGCAATTTTTACAGCGAACCATCACACAAGAATATATCAATACAAATAACAAGTTTAAAAAACTTGAAGAAACAATTTCTTTTTATCAAAATTGTTTATTTCTTTTATTCGTTTTATTTATAATAGTCATTTGTATTGGAGGCTATTATATTATTTGTTTAAAAAATTTAAACATGCAGCTTCTTCGTTCACAAGTTGAAGTCGAAGTTGCTAAAGAACTATTCAACAAGAATATCGATTTAATAATCGATTTCTTGAACCAGCATCGATTATAAAGGTAAATTATAATTTTATTAAATATATACAAAGAATTAATATACTAAAAAAATACAAAGAATTAATATGCTAAAAAATTTTTGTTATATTCTTCCAAGTCAGTCCAGCTCCACAAATATTTTACATTGTATTTTTTGACATATTCATTAACTTCTAACAAATATTTATCAATTATTTCAATATTTCTTTCATTTACATCATTTAATAGATCTAATGTATTATTCATGTAATGAAAATAATATCCTTCATCCCAGCCATGAAAAGTTGACCGTATATGGAATTCTATCCAAGACAAAATATTGTTTAGTCTTTTGTGTTTAGTATCATGGTAAATTTTCAGTGAAGGGTTAATTAAATTATTTTCAATGAGATAGTTTCTGAATTCTTCGTATCTTGTAAATATAATATATTCTGTAGTTTTAATTTCTTCAATAAATTGTTCTTCAAGTTTAATCGTTGGTAAGGGAGCTTGAAAAAAGTCTTCGTTATCGTCGGTTAAATTTGACGAATAATTTCTCCATTCTGTATCTTGAAAACAATCTTCCCAATTGTCTTCAAATGTTTTTTGTTTTTTCAATGTAATAGTTTTGATTTTTTTAATAATGTTTTTAATAAAAGTCATTTTGTAAATTGTAAAGTAAAATTTATTGTTAAAAATTTTATTTTACGGATTTGTAAAATTTTAGCTCTTTATATAGTTACTTTATTTTTTATAGTTAAAAAAAACTATAAAAGGACAAGAAATAATATTAATTAAAATAAAAATGGAAACTTGTTTCTTAAGTATTTCTCACTTGATTAAAAACACTGAATATAATTTCTCATTTACAAAAATTAAAGATACACTTATACATACACAGATAAGAATCTATATTTATAAGACAAATAAAGATGAACCAATTACGATTCAAGAAGCTAAAGATAAGGGTTATTCATTTGTATTAATTTCACACGAAAAAAGAAATTACGAAGCAATTAATTATATTAGTTTACCACCGCAAATTTTGGGAATAAAGATTTTTCATGATCAAAAACTTGTTTACGAAAATAATAGTATAAATTTTTTTATCAAAGAATCAATTAAAGATCCTGTTCATTCTAAAGTTACACTTACACCAGATTAGCTAAAAGTGTTTAAACGATTGTTTTCCTTATCATGGGATTTATTGATTAAAAAAAAACTATAAATAAACAAGTTTCGTCATTTACACATAACATGATCAAAACAGAATTTTCGAATTTTCTTTAAAGTGAACAAATCAAACACTTTCTTTAATTTCCAAATCAGATTTTTACGAATTTGGTAATATTAGTTATGGAATTT